CACCGTGCCCGGCCAACTTCTTTCTTCATATATTTTTTACTTTTAAAATTCTCCCCCTTTTTATCTTTTTCTTGTAATTATCATTATGTTTTTTAATTGTGATTCTCTTTTAATTTTAGTGATTCAATTTTAATATAGTTTTCCCTTATTTATTTTTTTTTTTTTTGCAGTATTCTGTTACCAGTATTCTGGGTTTTTCTAATTTTTGTTTATATTGTTTTGTGACCTGTATTTTCTTAACATCTTTCAGTCTTCTGTTTTTGAATACTGATTATAATTTTTTTAACTGTTTTGTATAACTTACTTTTTGGTGCGTTTTCATTATCTGAAAGGATTTTAATCTACTTCTTGTTCTCTTTTCCTTGTAATAATTTTGTATGGGATTTGACCTAGAAAAAAACTTTTCTGCTGTTCATTTTCATATAAAATTAGTTTTGCTGAAGTTTTAGTGAGCCATGGTTCAGGAAAACTTTCCTAATTTAACAGAGCTCTCTCTTCCACTGTTTTTGTGAAGTCTTCAAAATATATGGTGGCTTGCTTTCTGAGAGCTCCTGCCTCTCATCCCTTTTCTACTTTTTATCTAGACCTTCCCATTCCTTTCTCTATATTCCCCCTGTCTGCTTAATTTCAATTCTGTTCTCAGAATAGTCTCCTTCATGTTGTGCCCTGTCCTATTAGGGAGCTTGACTGATCAATTTCAAAAGTTCAAGAGGCCCAGGCTGTTTTAGCTCATCTCCAGATTAACCAAGAATGACCTTGCACTCACCTATTATTGGACTGAGCAGAGTTCCTCACAGTTTCAGCTGCTGTTCTCTGATTGTTCCACTATGCTTTTCATTGAGTACCTATTAGCCATTTTGACATCCTCCTGTTCTCAAATTCACTGGACACCCCACTGTTTTCTCTTGGCCTTCTCTCATCCAAACATGAATTCTGTAAGAACTTGTGGCTGTTGGTAATTTGTATTGTATTGTAACCACTTGTATTTAAGGATTCATTAGGACATCTAACTTTGATGTCTATGTGATTTTTCTTTTATTATTTAATTGCTTCATCCAGTTTTACATGAGAATTCATGTAAAAATTTTTTGAATCTCAGGGAGATTCAAAAATCATGTTGTAGCTATCATTATCTTCCCAGAACTCCAAGTTATTATTTTTAGTATGAAGATGCATTCATCATGAAAACCATCATTTTCTCTTAGGATAAAGTCCTAGATGGCTTTCCCTGACTTACCTTCCCAGTTGTACCTTTATTTTTCTTTATTATTATTATTTGAGATGAAGTCACGCTCTGTCATCCAGGCTGGAATGCAGTGACACGATTTCAGTTCACTGCAACCTCCACCTCCTGAGTTCAAGTGATTCTCTTGCCTCAGCCTCCCAAGTAGCTGGGACTATAGGCACGCACCACAATACCTGGCTAATTTTTATATTTTTAGTAGAGACAAGGTTTTGCCATGTTGGCCAGGCTGGTCTCAAACTCCTGACCCCAGGTGATCCACCTGCCTCAGCTTCCCAAAGTGCTGGGATTACAGGCATGACCCACCACACCTAGCCACCAATTGTACCTTTAGTCACTCTTCCCATCTTCACTAAACTGCAGCAACATTGGCCTCTATTCTGCTGAGATGCTTTCTCACACACTCTCATCTCTCTTGAATAATTTCAGGTATGAGTTTAAATGTTATATCCTTATTTCTATTGTATACTTAATGTACTTACCCTTTGCAGCATTTTTACCTTTGTAATGATTATGTAATGATTAACTCATTATGGAATTATTTACATCAACTTTAAGTCCTTGTGGGCAGAGTGTGTATGACTTTTTATTCTTTGTTGCATCTTTAGAATTTGGCACAGTGACTCACACATAGTAAGTGCTTAATAAATGAGAGATGGAGGAAAGACAAAGGAGATAACTATTAACTGAATACCTACAATAGACCTCTATATGCATTATTTATGCCTCATAGCACCATGGCAGGATAGGCACCCTTAGTCCTAGTTTTTGCATAAATATCTGAGGACCAGAAAATTTAAGACACACACTTACTAGCAACGGAGTCAGGATTAGGACCCAGTACCTGTCTGGCTCTGAGTCTCTCTCTGGGGCCTCATTCCTGATTACCTAAACTTACCTCTAACCTACTCTGGATCAGTGCAGGTGGACATCAACTCAGGCACTCCCAACAGTGGATTAGAGGCCCCAGTGTAGCTCCTGACCTGGTCAGAATGGGTTTAAGATATGGAAAGACAGGGACTTTGGGGGCCCCTCTGTAGGATGGGAGAACTGAGGAATAGAGTAAGAAGGGAAAAATGTCCCTTCCACAAAGCCTCACTGGGTCACTGAGCTGTGAGAAGGACTCAAAAGATGCCCAAGATGAATTCTAGTCTTAAGAGGATTGCAGTTTCCTTAGGACGCAGGCTTGACAAGAATAAACCAAAGCACAAACAACAGTAGGCAGGAATACCATGATCAAATAAGATGTTTTAGGTTACAGATAGAACTGTCCATGAGAGCTGAAGAGGTAGTGGAATTTTGTGGCAGAGAAGGGAATTAGGCTGAGCATTACACAAACATATAACGAAGGGCAGTGGTAGATATGGGGCAGTGATGGCTCTCCAGGTAAGAACTATATGGACATTATGGAGATGATGAGAAACCAAGCCAAGGGTTGGTGTGAGAGAGAGTGGGAGAGTCAGGACAAGCCTAGAAGAGCTGACCAACTTGCAATTTGGTCAACAGTTCAGAGATTTACTTTCCACTGGGTGAGCAGTTATTTTTTGTTTGTTTTTTGTTTTTGTTTTTGTTTTTTTGAGATGGAGTCTTGCTCTGCCGCCCAGGCTGGAGTGCAGTGGCACGATCTCACCTCACTGTAGTCTCCGCCTCCCGGGTTCAAGCAATCCTCCTGCCTCAGCCTCCTGAGTAGCTGGGATTACAGGTGCATGCCACCATGCCCAGCTAATTTTTTGTATTTTTACTACAGATGGGGTTGAACCATGTTAGCCAGGATCTCCTGGCTATCTCTTGACCTCATGATCCACCTGCCTTGGCCTCCCAAAGTGTTGGGATTACAGGCGTGAGCCACCGCACCCAGCCAGGTGAGCAGTTTTAATTGCAGAGAGATGTCCTATTGTGGTCAGATTCAGTCATATGAGTCGGTATTCTCCCAAAACTGGAGCCAAAATTGAGTGCTTGATGCTTACCATGCTCTGGGATAGTAGATTTACATATATTATCTCTTCTGATTCTCACCACAAGGACTGTCATCACAATTTTACCCATGAAGAAACAAGAAGGACAGAGAAGTGATGTAACTTTTCCTAAGTTACAAAGACAGCAAGTGTTAGAGCTGGGGCTTAAACCCAGAGAGCTGACTCCAAATGCACACTCTCTCTATTTTGGTTTGTTTGTTTGTTTATTTTGAGACAGAGTCTCACTCTGCCACCCAGGCTGGAGTGCAGTGGCACAATCTTGGCTCCCTGCAACCTCCACTTCCCAGGTTCAAGCGATTCTTAAGCCTCAGCCTTCCGAGTAGCGGGGACTACAGGCACCCGCCACCATGCCTGGCTAAGTTTTGTATTTTTAGGAGAGATGGGGTTTTACCATGTTAGCCAGGATGCTCTCAATCTCTTGACCTCGTGATCCACCTGCCTCAGTCTCCCAAAGTGCTGGGATTACAGGCGTGAGCCACCGAGCCTGGTCAGAAAGTGTTATTTTCATCAATACTAATAACAACAACCATGATAGCATCTGGTCACACAGCAATTATGATATGCAAGCACAGGCCAACTGCTCAGGGCATGTTGATGCCTTTGCCAGGGTCACACCACAAGCTATATAGACCCCAAGGCATCTCCAGGGGCAGCGGAGAGGGCAGCAGAGAAGTGGAGATCGATGGCCATGGGAGTGCAGGGATGGCGGCCAAACAAGTATAATGTTGATGACACAACCTAGGCTTTCCTGATTCCTCAGGTAGAGATCGTGATGTCCCTGCTTGGAATGTTTTGTCCCCCTCTGTTTGAAACCATCGCTCTCCTAGAGAATTACCACCCACGCACTGGACTGAAGTGGCAGCTGGGACGCATCTTTGCACTCTTCCTGGGGAACCTCTACACGTTTCTCTTGGCCCTGATGGATGATGTCCACCTCAAGGTAAAAACCACAACGCCCTCCACCCCACTGCAATTCCTGGTGCCCATAATATTTTCTTTTTTAATATAATAATTTCATTATATATAATTCATATTAATTAAATAAATATAAATTCAGAAAAATAAAATAAAAAAAAAACTCCTCAGAATCTATGACCCAAAGATGACCATTGTTAACCTTTTCCTATTGTTTTTTACTGTCTTCTTCTCTGGTTGTATTTTTTCATACCATATACATGTCATTTGATACCTTAATATTTTATCTTCAGCCTTTTCCACACTGTTTCAGAGCTGCCATAAATGACTAACAGCCAAGTAATTGTCCTCTAAGGTGCTATGTCATGACTTAACCATTCATCAATGCTCACCACACAATTATGGAGCACCCACAATGGCAGGCCCTGGGGTAGAGCAGACAGGAAGACACAGTCCTGTCCCAAGTGTGTTCACACTCTGGGCCAGGAGACAGACTTCATTACAGCACTCTGTGGGATGTGCATCAGTAGGGGTAAGCCCAGGGCAGCATGGCAGCGCACAGGAGAAGCTCCAGATCCCACACCCTGGGAACCTTAGCAGACATTGAAAAAGGCAGAGGGAACAGCTGGGTCAACAGGGAACTAGATGATGGCTGAACAATGGAGTGGAGCAGAAGAGTGAAAAAAATAGAGCAAGGGAGGGCCTGATGATGCTGATGCCCCTCTTCTCCATCTCTTCCCTCCTTATTATTGAGTTGTAGGAACTTTTTCCTGATGCTAACAGAAAATTGTTCTAAGCATGGAAGTGACTGAATCTGGCCCTAACCTCCCCTCCCGGCTCATCTCTGGCTTCCCTCCTACCCAGGAGACTGCTCTACTCTCCTGAGCCTCACATTTCTGCCACAGGGCAAAATTCTCTCTTGCCTCTCTCTCTACCCCTCTCCTCATGTTTGATTGGTTGACTAATCCTCCTTGAGGTTTTGGCCCAGATGTCACCACCTCCAGGAAGTCTTTTGTGGCCCCCACTGTGTGATGTGGATGCTCCTTCTCCCAGAGATAATTTCCCACAGCTCGTATCGCTCTGTTCTGTAATTGCCTGTTCATCTCCATCATTTACTAGACTCTAACCTTTCTGAGCAAAGCTCCACTTCTCTTGGTCACTCCTGTATCACCACTACTTTATATGTACAGAAGAAACCCTGAATAAATTATTTTCAAGAGAATAATGAATGACTGGATAAATACATGAATGGATGGATGAATGCCTGGATGGATGGATGGATGGATGGATGGATGGATGGATGGATGGATGGATAGACAAATGGATGGATGGACAGACAGATAGTGACTTAGGGTAGAAGATACCTTCATGGGAAAGACCCAAAGACTACAGCCTCTCCTGTACATATTGAAAGCCTGTGGAGGGAATTTCTGGAAGGACTCTGTCCAGGGGTAGAGCAGAAGCTAGATGGTAGGGTTGTGGCATTTGCTCGCTTTCATTGTTCTTATAGAAACAGTTGGACCATCCCTGGCTCCTTCCTACCCGACACCTCCATCTTCTCTTCTAGCTTGCTAATGAAGAGACAATAAAGAACATCACTCACTGGACTCTGTTTAACTATTATAACTCTTCTGGTCGGAATGAGAGTGTCCCCCGACCACCACTGCACCCTGCAGATGTGCCCCGGGGTTCTTGCTGGGAGACAGCTGTGGGCATTGTGAGTAGTCATGCTCTCTCTGAAAAGGTGACCCCTGTTCTTGGTTCTTTGTTATTTCCTCCTTGATGTTTCCATTTGCAGAATAAACCTGAAAACTTACCAGCTGTTCATCCAGCAAACATTTCATAATCATCTTGGAAGAAATAAAATTACCAAAGCAGATCCTGTGCCCCCCAGGAACTCCAAATCTCTTTGGTATCTCAAAGGTTGTGATGGTGTCTGGTAGATATTTTCAATTTTTCCAGAAAAATAGTAAATTATATCTATTCTACAAATGCAGAGAAAGCTTTGTCCTTCAGTTTTTGGTCCTTCTTCTATGTGCCTCTGTGCAAAACCTGTTTTATTTTCTCTATATATCAAAAAGAGAGAGAGAGAGAAATCCGACTAGCAGGAGGTGAAAAAAGCTAGGCATTGTCCCCAGTGACTGATGGTCACATTTAATCTTAGTGGGGGCAGCTGGCACTTCAGAATAAGTGGAGAAGCAAGGCCTTCGGGTCCTAGTGATGCTGACTACGATGCATTGGGCATAGCCAATTTAACAGGCAATTTATATACATAATTACTAAGTTTCCCAACTTAGTAATTTGTTGGTATCAATATCAGATTGAGAATGATATCAGTATCAGCTTCAAGAGGTTCAGAGATTATTCCAAAGCCATACAATTGGTAATCTGTCGTGTTGGGACCTAAATTTAGCATTTTCCAGAGCCAGGGGTCGCCTCTCTTCACACACAAAGAATCAGAGGGTCACAGAGACAAAGTCAGGTGGGTGGGAGAGAGTTTATGAGACTCTCAACGAACTCTCAGGGAGGGTGGAAGAAGTGGGCAAGGTCTCCAACCGCCCCCTCTTCCTATGTTTCTCTGCAGGAATTCATGAGGCTGACGGTGTCCGACATGCTGGTAACGTACATCACCATCCTGCTGGGGGACTTCCTACGGGCTTGTTTTGTGCGGTTCATGAACTACTGCTGGTGCTGGGACTTGGAGGCTGGATTTGTAGGTCACCACTTCAAGGACATTCTGCTCAAAGGAATTTCAACCATCCTCTTTGATACTTATAGCGAGATGCATTCTTGGGCATTTCATTTCTTTGGAGGCTTAATGCCAGTCTCTGCTCTGTGGAGTAGTAAAGTGTTTAATTTGTTTTGCCTTTAAGGGTCTTATTTGCCTTCATAGGGGAAACTGCTTTTTCCCAATGTAATGAACAATGTGACCTTCTATTCTAGGAAATGGAGGCATCTGGTCTAGGGGAAAGTGGACCACATGCTCCAGTATTGAGTCAATGGTTGATAAGGAATTGCACCTGAGCAGCCTCAACTCTCACTAGGGAGGCTGAAATCTGACAGTGGAGGCGAATATTTTGGGAAGTCCTGGAACACACCAAGAATGCAATAACCACTGGTCCTGTCTTCTATATGATGCTTTGAGAAACCTCCTTTGACTCGTATTCCCTTATAGCCCTCTTCTCCACCTACCTGGTAAATGTGTGTCATTTCCTCTCAGTAGTGGCCTTCTATGCTCTGGCAGAACCTCTGGCTCAGACACCTGTGCTGGACGTGTCTCTTCCACGACACCTCACTGGCCCAGCCTACAGTCACTGGTGTGCATGTAAGTTACCTACCTCTTACCTGAGCTCCTGGTGAGAGGCTCCATAGGATGTTGACCTGTGTAGCCCTCATCCTGGCCTGGCCCAGGTAAGGGCCCCAGTACAGGTTTCTGTCACATTTTTTTTTTCTTTCAGTCATCAGTCTCAGTTATAAACAAGTCTGCTGAGCTCCTCAGCAGCCAGGAAAGCTTCATAATCTTGTCTGAGAACAAAGATGAAAGAACTTTGTGCTCAAAGAGGATGACATCTTTGATAGAAAGACACAATATTACTAAGAGGTCATTGTTCTTAAATTTGTTTGTAAGATCACCACGATTTCCAAATAATACTAAAGTTAATTTGAAAAATAAGCATGTGAGAATATCCAGAAAAAATATTTAAAAAGAAGAATAAGGCCAGGTATGGTGGCTCACACCTGTAATCCTAGCACTTTGGGAGGCCAAAGCAGGAGAATTGCTTGAGTCCAGGAGTTCAAGACCAGCCTGGGCAATCTAGCAAGACCCTATCTCTACAAAAAATAAAAAAATTAGCTGGGTGTGGTGGTGCATGCCTGTAGTCCCAGCTACTCAGGAGGCTAAGGCAGGAGGATCCCTTGATCCCTTGATCCCTTGATCACACCACTGCATTCCAGCCTGGGCAACAGAGTGAGGCCCTGTCTCAAAAAATAAAGAAAAAAATAAAAAGAAGACTAAAAGGAACTAGACTTACCATAATACTAAAGCATATGATAAAGCTATAATAACCAAAACTGGTACTAGAAAATAGACCAACATGTCAATGGAACAGAATAGAAAGTCCAGAAATAGATACTATCTATATAGGCCTTTAGTTTATGATAAAGGGAGACTTTCAAATGCACTGGAGGGAAAGGATTTTATTAAAATATATATAAATTATATAAAAATGTGGGAGACTATATCCCTCATTCATCTCACCTAGATTAATTGTAGGTGAATCAAAGTCTTAAACATCAAAAAAATGAAAATATAAGTTTCTAAAAGAAAGCATGTACAAACTTAGAATCTTGAAGCGAGGATGATTTGTCTAAGCAGGACATGAAACCCAGTAGACAAGTGTTTTTTTAACATTTTAAAATATTAAAATTAAAATTTTGGGTCCAGGTACAGTGGCTCACACCTGTAGTCCCAGCACTTTGGGAGGCTGAGGCAGGTGGATCACTTGAGGTCAGGAATTCAAGACCAGCCTGGCCAGCATGGTGAAACCCCGTAATCGCTTGAACCAGGAGGCAGAGGTTGCAGTGAGCCGAGATCGTGCCACTGCACTGCAGCCTGAGTGACAGAGTGAGACTCCATCTCAATAAATAAATATCCAAGACTTCACCCCCATGGATTTAGCGTATGCATGTTTTGTCCTTCCATCCACGCGTGCTGGCCCTTCCTTTGTCTCTTTCCTAACTTCCCATCTCTCCTTCTTGTGTTCTCATTTCCCTTTATCTCCATTTCTGGAAGACGAATTAGGATGTGGGCTTTAGCATGCTTCATGAGGACCCTCATATCCTCAGTGCTCACAGATTTTATGTTCTTTCAAATATTGGACAAATCACGAAAACTGAAAATCAGTTAGGCTGAAAATGTGAACCAAGCTGGGCACTTTCCTTTCCACGAACTGCTCTCAGACTGGAGGAAGAAGAGAAGGAGAAAGAACAGTTGGAAGGATGATTTGGTTTTTGTTTGATTTTAAGCTTTCTTTTCTTTTGACTCCTCATTTAATTATTTGCATTTCATTATTTATTAGATTTCTCCTTGATTATAATTTCAAGGTATATTTCCGATTAAAACATGATAAAATGTTCTCTTAGAGGCAAGGGTCTTCCCAAAAACACACTGTCAGCCTGCAAGTCCTGAAAGACAGAAACTCTCACTTTTTTTTTTTTAACTGAAACAGGCATTTTAAAAGTTTCAGCTTTGAGAATGTCAAATTTTTTCGTTAAAAGTTGAAAACATATTAAAGAAACAGAGTGCTAAATCTAAGGTTCTTCTCTAGTTACCAGAGCAAGCTCTTTGGGATGGAATGGCCTTGGCTTGGCCAGTTGGTTAGTAGTAGGGTTTGGCTGAATTCATCCAACATGCTTTCTTTTTTTTTTTCTCTCTCTCTCCCTCCCTCCCTCTCTAGCCTTCATACGCTGAGTTTGATATTAGTGGAAATGTGCTGGGTTTAATCTTCAACCAAGGAATGATCTGGTGAGTTATCCATTTCATCTGGTGATCGCCTCATCCAAGGAGTCAAAAAACCGGAGTCCAAGACTTTGCAACTTAACTAGTTGGAAGAGGCTGGATAAGTCATCTTGCCTCTCTGAACTCCCCTCTTTCACAAGAAAAATCCAGAGCAGGACTAGATGAGAAGCAGGACAGTTTCTGGCCCACCCATATGCTACCATAGAAGTAGAGAGAAAGGGAGAGACGGGGGGGTAGGGGAGAAAAGGAAAAGAAAGGAAGGCAGGAGAGAAGGAGAAGAGGGAAGAAAAAGGGAGGAAGGAAAGAAGACAAAGGAAAGGGAAAAGGAAGGAGTAAAGAAGAGACGAGGAAAGGAAAACAAAGAAGGAGGGAGAGAGAAAAGAAGGAAGAGAAGGTGGAAGGTAAATGAACTACGGAACTCCCTCCTTTGAAAAGCGACTTTGAGGAGGTACATGACTTTAGGTAAAGACTTTCAAGGTGCCAAGGGCTTGCTGCAAGCCACTGTCCAATTCTCTTAATTGAAGGACTTCAAATACTCTTCTGAGCAGCAATGCTGTTTTATGGAAACCAAGGAGAAACAGGCAGGAGACAGTATAATTTGCTAGATGCCTGGGAGCGAAGCAGTGGTAAAATCCTGGCCAGAACGTAAGCCAGGAATGCTCGGAGTGCCTCCCTCTCCTGAGGACTACATGGTTCTGGCTTGATGATCAATATTCTGGTTAAATGGGAGGTCCCTTACCTGGGGACTTGCCAGGAAAGCAGCTGAGCCTCATGCCCCTAACCCATCCGTCGCATTTCCTTCTATCACCTTTCCCTTGCCTTCCCTGCTGTCCAGCCAACCAGGTGTTCGGTTTCTGCCCTTCCAGGATGGGCTCCTTCTATGCTCCAGGCCTGGTGGGCATTAACGTGCTGCGCCTGCTGACCTCCATGTACTTCCAGTGCTGGGCAGTGATGAGCAGCAACGTACCCCATGAACGCGTGTTCAAAGCCTCCCGATCCAACAACTTCTACATGGGCCTCCTGCTGCTGGTGCTCTTCCTCAGCCTCCTGCCAGTGGCCTACACCATCATGTCCCTCCCACCCTCCTTTGACTGCGGGCCGTTCAGGTGCAGAGTCTCAGTTGCCCAGGAGCACCTCTCCTCCCGAGGCAGTCTGCTCAGAGGGCCTTGGCCCAGAATTCCAGTTCTAGTTTCATGCCAACTTGTAAAAGGCCATGGAGCTTTGAGTGAATCATCGATGTTATGCAAGAGCATTTTCTGCCAGGATGGAAATGTTCTGTTGTTCTGTGTCTGTGCTATTCATTTCTTTTTTTTTTTTTTTTTTTTTTTTGAGACGGAGTCTCCCTCTGTCACCCAGGCTGGAGTGCAGTGGCGCGATCTCAGCTCAGCTCACTGCAAGCCCCGCCTCCCAGGTTCACGGCATTCTCCTGCCTCAGCCTCCCAAGTAGCTGGGACTACAGGCGCCCGCCACCATGCCTGGCTAATTTTTTGTATTTTTAGTAGAGATGGGGTTTCACCATCTTAACCAGAATGGTCTCGATCTCCTGACCTCGTGATCTACCTGCCTCGGCCTCCCAAAGTGCTGGGATTACAGGCGGGAGCCACCACGCCCAGCCTGTGCTGTTAATTACAGTAGCCACCAGCCACCTGTGGCTGTGGAATGATTGAAATAAGGAATTAAGAAAATGAATTTCTCATGTATTTATTTTTCTAATTTATTTATTAATTTTTAATTGATAGTTGTATATATTTTGGGGTACATGTGATATTTGGATACGTGTATACAATGTATAATGATCAAATCAGGGTAACTGGGATATCTGTCACATCAAACATTATCTTTTTAAAAATTGTTTTTAACCGAGTCTCACTCTGTCACCCAGGCTGGAGTGCAGTGGTGCGATCTCAGCTTACCGCAACCTCCGCCTCTCGGGTTCAAGTGATTCTTGTGCCTCTGCCTCCCAAGTAGCTGGGACTACAGGCACACACCATGATGCCCAACTAATTTTTGTATTTTTGGTAGAGACGGGGTTTCACCATGTGGCCCAGACTGGTCTCAAACTCCTGGCCTCAAACAATACACTTGCCTCGGCCTCCCAAAGTGCTAGGATTACAGGCATGAGCCACAGTGCCTGGCCTAAACATTTATCTTTTCTTTGTGTTGGGAACTTTGAAATCATACAATAAATTATTGTAAACTGTCATCTCCCTGCTGTGCTATGGAACACTGGGACTTCTTCCCTCTCTCTAACTGTATATTTGTACCAGTTAACCAACCGTACTTCATCTCCGCTCCTCTCTATCCTTCCCAGCCTCTGGTCACCTCATTCTACTCTCTACCTCCATGAGATCCACTTTTTTAGCTCCCACATGTAAGAACATGCAATATTTGTCTTTCTGTGCCTAGCTTATTTCACTTAACATAATTACTTCCTGTTCCATCCATGTTGCTACATGACAAGATTTCATTCTTATTTTAATTTCAATTAAAATAACCACACATGGCTAATGGCTACCATATTTGACAGCACAGTTCTACCCTTTTAACACATAGATAACTTACTACCTGGGATTAGTTTACCACAGGATAAGTAACAGTAGATATTCTGAGGATGAATTACCATACACTTACACGTGCCATTTAAATGTGAAGCAGCTGCAGTGGACTCTTGCCCAACCTCAACTGAGCTCTCTGCTTTCTAGAGCATTGGCCTGAGGGTTCAAGATATAAGTCAAGCTAGTTAGGAGACTGGATATTGTATAAAAGGACAAATAGTTATGTAAGGAGGTAGATCAAGAAATAATGTGTATCTACTGTTCTCTTTCCAAATGAATGACCTTCTGAAAACAAAGCCCTCTGCTGACTCCATAAAGAGAGGTTCTGTAGTTAAAGCAGTTTGGGACATACTGCCCCTTCTGTCTGTCATTATCTCACTTAGAAATGCTCGATGCACACTCCTTTGTTAAAGGCTCTGAAGAATCATGTAATGAGGTAACATCTGTAAGCTAGTGTCTCCATCCTTATTGACCACAGAACCCTTTCTGCATGGATCACTCATCCAGGGCTGGAAATAGGGTGAGGCAGGTGAATGACGCCCTACACTGCACATGAGCAACCCTGAGGGCATTACTTCCTTAAATTGTGCACTCAGGGCCTCACCTGTCTCACTCTAGTCCCAACCCTGCCTACCAATGAGGAGAAACACTGTTCCGTGAAAGGGTTGTATATGCAAAACAGCCCCTAAATGCCCAAAGAGCCTAGAATCCAAAGGAGGAAGGAGACAAATGCAGTTTGTCAGCTTTGAGTGATTTATTAGGGGTAACTTACAGACAGAAGTATGGTCGCAAGCAGCCGCAAGACAAGTAGATCTCCACACCTCAATCCCCCAGGCCCAGGGCTTATATCTTGGGGAAAGTATGCGTGCTCTGGAAGGAATGCGTAGGTGGCTCTGAACATCACAGCCTATGATTTCTGCAGCAGCATCAAGGGTTGTTTTGGAGGAAACTTACAGGGAACAAGGGTTCCTACATAAAGAGTTATACATCTGCTAGACATGTGGGAGGCACTCCCAGACTCAGGGTTAGTTAGAAGTTACAAGGCAGATTAGCATGTAAAATAAAGTCACTCATGTCCCCCACAAACACACTTTGAGAAATGCTGATCTGCTTCTTCTCAGTTCATAAGGAACTTACCTAAATAAAGACCTGTGATAGTTGGACCCCAGGGATGTTAGCAGGAGTGTTCCAGCAGGGTGTGATCTGGAAAACAGGGTTCACACAGAAGGAGGGGATCAGTCTAGAACAGAAGGAACGTGCTGGACTGCAGGCGGCCTGAGATGCCAGGCTGAAGGGAAAACTGCATGGAAGAAGCCTCTGTTGGCTTCTTCCTAAGCAAGGTTTGGAGGGCTGGGCCCTGGGTGCAAATGCCAGCACCTCTTTTCTCAGTTTCCCATCTGTCACTGGGTAGGAGGTCAGCAGGGACAACTATACTATGATAAGAACCATCTCCTACAGTCGTATGGAAAGCTGAACTTATAAGAAAGGAACTTGGCTAGCCATGTATGGTGGTACGTGCCTGTAGTCCCAGCGACTTGGGAGGCTGAGGTGGGAGGATTGCTGGAGCCCAGGAGGTGGAAGTTATAATAAGCTATGATTGCACCACTGCACTCCAGCCCAGGCAGCATAGCAAGGCTCTGCTTCAAAAGAGAGAAGAGAAGAAGAGA